CTTAGGTCTCACCTCTATGAACTGAGTTGCTTTCCTTCATCTTTATTAGAGACTAAGAGTCTTTAGAAGCTAACAGTGACAACATACCCCACACAATCACAACCTATATCCTTCTTTCTTTATCCTCAGCTCCAACCTACTTCAAATTAGTTACCCTTTTAGCATAAACTCATAATCAATGTCAGCAAAAAACCAAATGCACAACATGCAACTAATTCACTTTAATTATAATTTAGTTTCAAATTTTATTCAATTCAACTAAGCATTTTCCAGTATTATATAAATCCATAGTCTGATGATCAGTGCATCAAACAAGCAATATTAGATATATTAGAAGTTCATAAGCTATCAACAAAGAGGTTAATAAGAAAAATCTAAATTAAAGTACTTAATAAAGATGCACGACTACACAAGTACAGAGCAATAATTAACTTTAACATAAGTTCTGAGCAAAGTGCAGATTAAATGTTATGCTAAAACAATGGAGTTCTTAAGTTATACAGTATGTAAGCTATTTCCTCTCCATTTAATTTAATTTTTTTAAATATTGTAGGCGGTTTAGCTTACCTTGTCAAACAGGCCTTTGCCCTTTGGCAACAACATAGGACACTTAATCTGCATCAAAATTAAAAATAAAAAAGTCAAAACATGAACTACACTGAATATTTGTCACTCAATTTTTATTAATATCATACTAGTCAAACATAGTGCAAGCTTTAGATAACTACAAAACTATAGTTTACTAGTATGGCTAGGGCTACGATCGAAAGAGAACGAAAAGATGACATAAAAAAAATAGTCTGATTAATTCTGCTACACAAAATAGAACCTTAAAACAAACCAAGTATACAACATCAAAAAAAGATTACTAATAAAAAAAAGAACAACATCAGAGATTTATATGAGTAAACATGCATATTGGTTGTATACTTGCAAGTCATGAAACTGATAATTTTTAAACCTAACCGTTTACCATTATGCTTCTCAGATGCCTATCAAATCCCTAATAGGATTACATCTTTACTAATCCCAACAAGTAACATCATCAACTGGAAGTACCTCTAATAGGAGTTATATAGGTGATAAGCATGTAGCCATGGAAGTACCTCTAATATATAGGTGATAAGCATATAAACCATGGAAGTACCTCTAATAGGAGTTATATAGGTGATAAGCATATAAACCATGGAAGTACCTCTAATAGGAGTTATATAAACTCATGAGCTTTATTTTTATACACAATCATGGTATAAGTTACTACATAGAATAATTTTTGTAAGCAAATATACATAGGTCACTTAATCATATCTATAAATGCCACACCTAGACAAAGTACTAGAAAGCAATAAAAATACCCTGAATTCTACTAAATAAGATAAGAAATTAAATTATTGTAAGATTTTACAAAAAATTTAGTATATATTTAGTATGATCTTAATCAGATATACTAGTCTACTCATAAGAGTATCTTGCATTCCTGTAGTAGTTAAAATAAGTAGGACTTTCACTAGGCGAAAATACGTAATCCCCACCGGTTCAATCCCCCCATTTAGCACCGGTTTTGAACCGGTGGGGATTTGGGGGTGCTAAAACCCCATACATTTCGCACCGATTCTGGGTGAGAACCGGTGCGAAAACCGCACTTTTAGCACCGGTTCTTGCTGTGAACCGGTGCGAAAAGTAGGTAAGAAAATTATAATAAAAAACTTTTAGCACCGGTTCTTTATCAAAACCGGTGCCAAAAATGCCCAAAAAAAAAAACAAACTACACAATCAAAGATAAGAGGCGGTAGCAATTCCCAAATAAGACTTGACTGCATCCATCTATGCGTCTTCAAGGTAGTAACTAATGGAGGATTAGGCAGGATCAACATGGCACCAGATTAATGTGATACTAAAAGCTGAAAAACAAGATGAAAGACCTTCGATCCATCCAGACATTGTGATACTCCAGACGTGGAATTACTAATGTGGCATTCAAAAATCCAGCAACAGCCACTGCATTGCATATCTGAATCAGAAACACGGAAGAATCATTTGATGAAGAAAATTTCAGAAACAAGTTAATTGAGATTTCAAATGAATAAGGATCAGAAATTCTATAAATATGAAATCAAGGGAAGAAAAAATGCCCAATTCATACTGTATATTAATGGAAGATAACCCTGACAGGATCAACATGGCACCAGAACAATGCAAGGAAGACAAGTTTATCCATTTAATTATATCAGGATTTGCAAACTAAAAGCTACTGAGTTATATCAGGATTTGCTACTCAATCATTAAAATTTGGCATTTGTTTCACTTGCAATAAAGGTCATAGCATCATAAAGTTGTAGTTTCTGTTTAGCTACTAAAGAATAACCATTGAGATGCATCTATGACCAAATATGCTTACCATCATGGTGAACTGGACATAAACAAAAAATTATATAACTCAAGAGCCAATAAGAAAGCTAAGAAGAATAAGCAGCCTAAACAAAGAGATGTAGTGAAGATTAAAATATAGAGATCATCAGAAAACCAAAAAAAAAAAAGACTTGTACAAAAATTACCAATAGGGCCTGCTTGAAAAAACAATTCCCATAGCAACTCTAACAACCAAGGATGATCAGTGCATAGTTTATTTCGCAAGGATAATTCAATCAAGTACTCCACACAAAGAATTCACAAAATCATTTACAATTTAACTTTAGAGATAATAGAGGTAGGAGGAAAAGGAGAGTGAACCTCACAATTGAACTACGAGCTGAGCAACACTCAACAACAGCAATAACACAGCAAAGGCAGCAGCAGCAACATGCAGCGAGGAGGAGCCCGGGCTACGGTGGAGCAGCAAGGAGGGCAGACAAGTGTCAAACTCTAGATGAATCCGAAGACGAACAAGTATATGCAAAAAGAATAAAATCTCAGAGACAATCAAACAATCAAACAAAAAGAATAAACTCTAGATGAACCGGTGCGAAAAGTGCGGTGCTTTATTCATTTTTTCTACTAGTGCGTGGAAAACAATGAAAGTTATGCCTTGAGAGGGACAAAGGGGGGGTTGGGAAAGCCCATGAGCTTGATTTATGCAAGAAGTTTCAGTATAAATCACCATAACCATATTTTATAATAAAAAAAATTAATAATAATAAAATAAAATATATAACACTGAATATAAGCAAAAGAAAAAAGAAACAGCAGAGCAACCTGAGGCAAGACAGTAGCTGGCCTTAAATTTGCAAACACGTCAAGACCTGCTCGAAGCTGAAGCAAGCCGGTCTGTGGCTTCAACTTCTTTTCAAGTTTGTCCCATTTATACATGGCCAAGTAACCCATCCTTATTTTCACATATTACAAGGGAGGGAAGACAGAGAAAAAAATAATTAAAACAAGTGGTAATGGATATTACCCTCCAATAGCTCCAAGAAGAACAGCATCAGATTGTTTTGCTGCTGCAAGGGTCTCCTCTGGCAATGGAACTCCGGCGAGATCAAAAGCAGAGCCACCAACAGGCATCTCTTGGTACTTGATCTCAATCCCTATCCCTAGAAATTTAAGAATGCCAATGAAAACAATTAAAAATTGACAGAAAAAAAAAAATATGACCAACTGAAAAGCTGCCAAAAAAAAAAAATCATTTCTGACAAGCATAATTTCAATAATATAACTTTTAACAATTTACAGCATAAGGCAGAATGGCAAATATAGAAGTTAACCAAAAACATATAATTAGTTATCTAGTGTATAGGCCGCAGCCCCTGCACTTAGGCAGGGTTTAGGAGGTCCATATGTACATATGGAGTAGCCTTTTTAGAAAGGTATAGTTAATTTATTCATTATGTTAATCACAATTCACATACTGCAAAAGTCTTGATGCTCTATAGTTTCACTCAATAAGGTGCAAGTAACTCACAGCAGTGTATTACATATCATGCACAGCAGCACAGGAACAGATCTCAGCACTAACTCACAAACAGTTTATGATTATCTTGTAAAAACACTCAACTTACATTTTCTACAAAACACTAACTGATCATGCCTCTTGGTAAAATAGTATATAGAACTGACTTATAGCAAGTAGCAGTAGTTCTCTCTATACACTTGGTCATTGAGAACCAACACAAATAGGCTGCAGGACAATCATCATCCAACAATCACAATTCCCCATTAAGACACACACAGGGACTCTTAACTAAATTCACAAGCTAACAACAACAACAACTAATTCAGAAACAAGCAACATCCTTCACATTCAATATCTATCCCCTGGCCAGCAACAATATATAGTTGTTGGCAACCATATCATCAACAAAAGGCAACCTCCTCTAAGATCTAACTTCCCAATCTCAGAAGCAAGAATAGCACGCTCCATTTGCCCGTATCTATCACGCAAAAATTTACATATCAATTAGAATTATGAAGCATCAAAGTAACAATTTGCAAATTAGTCAAAGGAACTTGGCATGCACTACTGAGCTACAACTCAATCAATGGGCAAAAACAGTTGAAAGCAAGATCAAAATGAGTTAATTTTAAATTCAAAGTCTTCAGCTTACTTCTTTTTAAATGTCTCAAAAGGAGAGTAAATTGCTTTCGCTGTATCAAGTGATACTTGCATCGCATATTCTGAAAAGAGATGTTGATATTTCTTGCAAATTAAAAGTGCTTGTCACGTTATGCAGTTCGATCATTGAATCAAGATGCTTGCTGTGAATCTTTCCTTTAGGCATATCACCAGATAACAAATCCAATGTCCCTGAAGATGTGAATTAGAGAACAAACTTTGTTATTTTAGCTCAACTATATATCTGAAGCACCAACTTCAGGCCAGCTATAAAATCTACAGTTTTTAAAGTCACCTTAATCAGATTGATTCACATGACAGTTAGAATGCTAGTAAAGCAATGGACAATTATAGCTATGTCACAGAAAACTACCCCAATGCTGAGTGTAAGCATGATAGGGAAATTCTTTCTGAATCGAGGCTCCATCAAGACTTCCTAAGACTACAAAATACTAGATCATATATTGAGTTGAAAAGAAGAGATGATGTATATAATTACGGGAAGAAAAAAAATTCAATTTTGATGACTGATATCTAAATCATAGCCAAAATTAGATGATTCGTACCAAATTTATCCTACCTGAAACTAAGGTTGGGATTGATTCTACCTGAAACTAAAGTCACCAGACCCAAAACATAACAAAATGACCCCATTGTCACCTTTAAAAGCCCCTACTTGGAGTCATGCCTCTGATTCTATGATCAGTCAACAAATTACAGAACCATGCACTTGATTGCGGAATGACAAATCTTTGACAAATCTTTGACAAACTATAATTCCTGGTACATATTGTAACAAAATTGCAGTTGTATCCTAAATTAATGAAAATTCTCTAGAAAAATTTGTAATCCCAGCGTGAAACAGGGTAAGTTAGGCACATATACACAATTCAATAAAATAAAAATAAAAATAAAAATAAAACAGCAAAATTAGGCATAAAATCATATCATTTGAAAACAATTAGACAAACTAACATCAATTCCAACGAATTCAACTACCATAAAGGACTTCCTTAGCTTAACAGCAGTAGAACACAAATTTCGAGCAAAATTGAATATCAAAACTTTGACCAGTGATAGGTAGACAAGATTTTAAAGAAATTGATGCTTCTAGGATAGCAATTCATACCCTGTAAGTTGTAAGGTCAGACAGTCATGTTTCAATCTTCAGTATTTTAAACTGTGGACAGTAGTTGTTTCTCTTCACATAATTTTTCTGAAAGAACAAAAGAGTATTAGATAATTTGCACAGATCCTCTTTCTCGTAGTCACACTAATGAGAAAGACTAGAAACATAGCCCTAACCCTAAAACCCCCAAAAATTTAGCCCTAGCCCTAAAACCCCCAAAAATCAAAAAATTAAAATCTTTAATAACAAAATTATGAAATCATCAACAATAATAATATTCAGATTATAAAACCAAATCAACCAACAATATTATGAAAAAAAATAGGGTAAAGGAGAAGATATTATTGCTCATCACCATGAAGACGGTGGTAGACGATTTTCGATTAAGTTATTAACACAAATACACAATAACACTCAAAATCTAACCTTAGAGACTACTTCAAGCCTTCAAAGCCTTCAATGGAGGAGTCGAGGAGAGAAAGCTCAGAAAGTCAGAACTCAGAAGCCGCTTCAATGGAGAATTTCGAGTACGCTCTACGCCTCCACAAACCAAACCCTGCAACAGATTAGAATTTTAGCAACCAAAATTGACTCAATTATCAACCCATAAGGCCACAATTATCCAACTTCGAACTTTCGAAGAACCCTAAAATCCTAAATTGAATATATAGTGACAATTTATAAATCAAATTAGGTCAATGATTAAAGAAAAAGAAGATCTACCTTTGAGACTGCTTCTGTGGAGCCGTTGAATTTTGTGGGTGGGTTAGTGTTTTAGTGATGGTGAGTTTTTGAGGAGAGAGAGGCTAGATGAGAAAGAGAGGCTAGATGAGGAAATGAAAGGGAAAGAAAGAGACCGGTTTTTTTTTATTATTATTTAGAAAGAGTTTTAGCACCGGTTCGGTTTAAACCGGTGGGAAAAACAAACTTTTCGCATCGGTTTGGTTAGAACCGGTGCGAAAACTCTATTTCCCAATCCCGCCTATTTTTTTCGCACCGGTTTTCAAAAATCGGTGCGGATTGTGCGGTGCCTATTTCATTTTTTCTACTAGTGTTTCATAAGCTTTTTAGACACTAGCTAGGTTAATGAGAAGCTGCTCGACACCTTTATGCAATTTAATCAACTAATGACCAAGTACTCTGTACCTATCAAACAAAATTTAATGGTTTATATATTTGTCATCATGAGAGTTTTGACTTATATTGTATAACCAATGTTTCAATTAGTTAGTATTCTTGATATGCTAACAAGCAGCAACATATAAGCAATGAGTTAATACAAAAAAAAAAAAAAAAAAAAACTCAGAAATAATTATATAGTAGCAGGCACCTAAACCGTTGATCATATATAGATATAAAATTCCCATTCCAATTATAAACCTCTTTAAATGGCCAACTTATACACAATCAAGGTTCAAAATGCATCAACAATAATTGTCACAACCAGGTATTTGCCTAAACCTTCCAATAATCAAACATATAAGACTATAAGAGTATAGTCGGTTAACAATTACATAAACCATTAAATTTGGTATTGAGCTCTTTGTCGTCAATGCTTTATGACTAATTTGTCAGAATCTTAGGTATTTAACTCAGAAGTCAGTTTACTACTCTCATCAGACTTTATGACTAATTTCATAAAAATTACTAATTCGGTCATATTATTGTCAAATTTCTTGGAGAAAATTCGACGCATAATTGTAGAATTCAATTTAATTAACAACAATAGCAAATTAAGAAACTCTAATGTTGACATCAAACAGCTTGATAGAATGGAAATTCATTCATTTAAAGATAATAGATTGCAATTAAAATAGAAATGAAGCCAAACAATTCAAAAATTCCAGATACAGTTCAGAAATTTAACGATTGAAGAAGAAAAACAAACCAGACTTAGAAATCGTCTCCTCTTTCTTTTTCTAACGGTCTTTTGCAACTTTTTCTCTGATTTGTTGAAGCGCTGAGAAATTCCCTTTGATCTCACTGAAAATCAAGCCCAAATTTTACAAATTAGGAAATATTTTCTAAAATTAACCAAAAAATTTGTCAAGCCCTAGAATACCAATTGAGCTAGAGGGGAGAGAAAGTGAGAATTGCAAAAGTAAAAGCTCCAAAAAAAACCCCTAGAATACCAAGCAAGGGGAGATAGAAAAGGAAATGCAAGGGAGTATTTGTCGCCTGGTGGTGCTTAGGCTGCAGCAGTGCGTCTGCACCTCCATCTTTGAGGAGAGAGAGAGTGAGGAAGAAGAACGAATTAGGTAACTGAATAACTAATGTGAAAATCGTAGCAGCAGAAATTCTTCCGCCCTTTTTCTTTTTATTTTTAATTTTTCCGGCCTTTTTTTTTTAATTTTTCCACCCTTTTAGAGCTTGTATTCAGATTGTTATATAGATCAGGTCATCGAGACTTGTCAATTCAGGTTAACCCGTCGGGTTTAGGTTGAATTTTGGATCATTTGATTCAAATTGTTTTGATTGTTTGGGTTAGTACAAAATATGATAAGTGGGTCAAATTGGGTCAATTTTGGGTCATTTGGGTCAGGCTGAGTTGGATCCGGGTTCGTTCTCAATAACTCGAGTTTGGAATCGGTTCGGGTTGGGAATCGGGTCGGGTTCAATTATCCCAAAATTATATTATTCAATTATTTTTAACAATCCATTTTCATTTTTTTCATCTAAGATTTTTTAATTAATTTTTGTAATTGTCATTAGTTTAATATTTAATAAGATAAAATCATAAAAATCAGAACATATTTTTTTATTTAATTTAACATCATAAATTATTTAATAAAAAGATAACCCAAAAGTAATTAATTAACACTTTAGGTTATTGTTGACTTTAATGCTCTATAGCAACACTTTTATAGTTGTTTCATAGGGATCTAGTATTGTTATTTTATTTCAAAGTAACATTTTAAAATCATTGCCTTAGGTTATCAAGGGTAACAATTTTATTAGTGTTGCAATTTTAGGCGTTGCATATTCTCATTATTAATTGCAGGCGATGCTGTAACACCCTCAAATCTCCCTCTACGGAAATACTAGTCTAATACGTAAAAATATACCATAAAGATAAACTTAGGCTTATTACCACCGCGTGATTATGCAAGGCTACTCAAACTACTAACCAAAACCAATACTTTGCACCAGAAATTCAAACTCTTTCTTTATTTATAATAGCTATAAATAGAAACCGTTGTCATGAGTACTCATAATTAAACAAAGACCAACAATCCTAATTCTAGGTGAAGAACATTCCTGGGACTCCCATATGCTCAAATATTGACTCCACCTGAAAATAGTCAACACTGCTTACCATTAAGGTAAACATGGCGAACCAAAACAAATAGGAAATACGGATTAGCAAAATATGCTAAGTACGATAAGTGCAAGATAAGTAAATTCAATTTATTTGCAAACATGCATTTAAAATCAATTCCAATGTAAATCTAATAATTCCAAACTCAAAATTTCAAAACCAATTCCAATAATATAATTCCAAAACTCATGATTCAAAACCAATTCCAATAATTCAATAATTCCATAAAACGATTTATAAAACCAATTCTCAAATATTCTCAAAACAATTCCAATAACTCAATAATAATGACTAATAAAATCAATTATTTTCGAAAACTCAATCTCCTCTATAAGTGTGCACACCACCCAAGCTAGTCTTCTACTATTTCAAGGCTATTATTGAGGAAAGATTAGGTCATACAAAATCCATAGTCTCCAATGAATCCGCATAGTGGGATCAACATAATAATCATGCTTGTAAAGCTTTTTAATAAAATCCTCTTTAAATTTTGTCTTTGAATGAAATCAAACTTTATAATAGAATAACTCAAAAAATCCTTTTTATTTAATTCAACAAACTTTTTAAAACCCTTTATTTAAAAAAAAAAAAAAAAAAAAAAAACTCTGTAAGTCAATCCAACATACTTTTAAACAACTAAACTCCTTTAAACATAATAAATAATTTCAAACCATTCAAAACATGATATAAAATCAATCCTTCAATTCATTTATCAAAAACCAATATTTAAAACATGCTTTATTTCATAAATCATAATTTAATTCAATTTAATTCAATCATCATAAAAATCATGTAAAACATGCTTATTAAATCCAATCAATTTCAAAGGTATCTAGCCACCTAAACGTACCTTGATTCCTAATATCAATCAACACTTCGTACTTTCAAAGTTCAATCACGAATACACCTTATAACTAACATAACCATAAGGTCATCACAACATCTTTAGACATAAACCCAAATCTAATGTGCATGGACTATAAAACTCTTTTAAAAATAATACATTAATATAAAATTATAGCTTTGAAATAAGTATTTATATTTTAGAAAACTAACCACGAAGAAAATAAAGGAATAGGATTAAAAAGAATTGAATTTGCGTTGGAAAGAATAGACAGAACTTACAGAGGCCATAACTCCTTCAATATAACTCTGAATTGGGTGATTCAAGAGAGAAGAAGAGAATTGAGTTTTGGTGTGAAGAAGATGAGAGGTATGAGGTGGTATTTATAGGCTCATGAATGAAAGAATTAAGGCAAGATCTTGTAGGAAGAATTATGGTAAATGTAGTTTAAGGAATTACTAGGAAAAGAGAGTTTAAGAATTAAGGAAGGTTTACTTTATGGTGATTAAGAAATAAAGAATTAAGGTAAGTATGTAGTCATGAAATATTAAATGGTAAATGGCTTTGCTTGGGGAATAATCAAAGATGAAATAAGGTAGGGAAATAAGATGATCAAATATCTAGAAGGTGAGAAATAAAATTAAGGAAAATAATAAATTTAAGAGAGATAATTAAAAATACAATTTACCAAAACAAATCACCCAAAATCCAACCATGGTGGCCGAAATTTTTGAGCTTCCATAGCTCAAAATTTCAGACATCCTATGTAGTAATTAGGGAAATATTTTGCTAGATTTAAGGAATTAAAAATAGTTGTGTAAATAATATATTTTGTATAAAATAATTAGTTAAGAGAATAACAATTATTCACTAAATAAATTAACTAAAAAAAAATCAGGTTTTCCACACTAGGAAAATCCGAAAATCATAGCTAATCAATAGGAATTTTCGAACCTCTCAATTAAATAATAAAATATAATTTTACTTAATTAAAATATTCGAAATATATATTAATAATTCGGTATTTAAAATAAAATAAATGGATAATACAAAATCCAAAATTAATAATTAAGTTTTTAAAATACTTTTGGCGCCAAAATTCAAATATCATTTTGGCTCCAAAATTCAAATAGTAAAATAAATTACTAAAATACCCTTTTTAGAAAATAATAACTAATTAATTAATTAGAAAATACGTTTCAAAAATACGAGGTATTACAGATGTTGAGGGTGGATGGGCTCAAATCTCGTTTAACAAAAAACAGAGGAGGTAAGAGATGCCAAAATCTGGGCGACTGAGGCTCTTAACTCGGATTACAATGAATGTTATTAAGCCTAAAGCGGAGAAGATGACACGGGAGGAGATCATCAAGGAGTTGACGGCTGCACTGGAGACGGCTAATAAGAAGACGTCTGACCTGGAGCTTGAGCTAAAAAATGCTCAGTCGAACCTCAAGGCTTTAGAGGGGGCTGACAAGGAGAACACTGAGCTCCAGTCAGACGTCAACCGACTCAAAGATGAGATGGCCCGGGTGTATAGCGACCAAAAGGCTGCTCTAGAGGCAGAGTAGGAGCAGATGATAGCGGAGAACGAGAAAGACTGCGAGGAGCGCATGAAGATGGCATGACACCTCGTCCATCCGGACTCTGACTGAGACTTCTTTGGTTTGTGGTATAAGTACGCCAGCGAGGTGTATGATGGCCAGACCTTAGGATTGGAAGCGCCGCCTCCATTTGATGAGTGGACCGGTATCGAGGAGCTATATAGGGACGAGGAGGAAGATGGTGAGGAGGAGCTCAATGAAGACCAGAAGGATCAAGTGCCGGTTGAATTAACCCTTGCTCAGCCGGGTCAAAAGAAAGGTGAGATCCCCTTCCGCCAGGACCAGTCTGTGGCCCCGCCCCAGCAATCTTAAGCTTTAGGTTTTTCCTCGCGGCCTTGAGCCGTCTGTATTTCCGGCCTGTGCGCCGAGTAAGTGTTGTAATTTTTCAACAATCTTTTTATTAGCCCGGACGTGGGTCTGGTTTGACAATTTCTCTTCCGGCCTTAAGGTCGGGTTTTATGAATGAAGTAGCCGACTGAGTCGGTTTTATCTCAATTTGAGTTCAATTTTTTCAATTTTGCTTTTTGCATTTTCGCTATATATGCTTTTATTTTTGCCTGACTTATTTATTGCATGTGGCAACTAACAAATCGGCTGGCCTCTTGCCCCTGGGCGGCTGTGTGGTTGGTTTAAAAATTTGATTGATTGACTTAGGAATTTTTGAT